GCCCCCTGCGCTGACCCCGCTCTGCATCTCGCCCCACGGCAGGTTTCACACCATGTCCATCATGATCGCTGTGGACATCCTGGGCTGCACGGGCAGCACGGAGGAGCGGGCGGCCCTGCTCCACAAAACCATCCAGCTGGCCGCCGAGCTGAAGAGCACCATGGGGAACATGTTCAGCTTTGCGGCTGTGATGAACGCCCTGGAAATGACACAGGTACAGGGACGCTCCCTTCGTCCTCGTGGCCTGGGCTCAGTCCCCTCGCCCAGCGCACATCCCTCTCCCCGTGTCCTGCGGTCTCCGACACCCCTGGGGGTGGGAGAAGGAGGAAAATGCCCAGGGTAGGGAGGCTTGGGGCCACATCTGCTGGGGCGTAAGCAGGGAAGGGGAAGAGCAGTCCCCTCCGCGGAGCAGACAGCCCAGTCCCGCCGGGATCCGATTGTTTTTCGGTGGTTGGGCTTTTTGTTTTGTGCTGGGCTGCGTTCCTGGGAGGAAATGAATCTGCCCTCCGGTACAATACAAATCAGTCTCAAGGCTGTGGCAGCAGCGTCTCTGGGCCACACTGCTCCCTTTGGAAGATGAAAGGAGATTAAAATTCAGTTTTAAATCGAGCCCAGCTGGGAAGTCTTGCTTCCTGCCTGCACAAAGGAGGTGGAACGGCTGCCCCCTCCCTGCGTCTCATCTTCAAGGCCGCTGTGACACGGGGAGGCTGCTGTCCTGGGGCACGGGGAGGGGGGAGAAACCCTGAACCCAGCGACGGTGCCAGGGCTGTGCCGTCTCTGGCCGTGAGCGCTGGTGGAGGAGGCTGTTCTGGGGAGCAGCAGGCACTGCTGTGTGCAAGGCTGGGGGCTGCGGCTCAGGGGACCAGGCGGTGACCCCGGGAGCACCCTGTGAGCCCAGAGCTCCAAGCCCAGGGGCTGCGCTGCCCCAGCACCCTCCATCTGCCCCAGCACCCTCCATCTGCCCCATCTACTTCCAGATCGCCCGGCTGGAGCCGACCCGGATAGGGGTG